TCAAGCAGCTTTTGTATACCCTATGCTCGTTAAATATGTAAAGTGGATGTTGTCGACTCGTCCATAACTAAGCAACAGATTCACAGAACTGAAGTTTATACTTACTGAATTTCTCATAGTTTCTGTTTCCAGTTCAAGTTGATGAACAGCATTTAGCAATTGCAAATGTGATTAGTTATTTGCAGGGTATCTTGTTCGTCTCTCACAATCTGTGCATGCATTCCGGGTTGGTTTTACGATGCAGCTGCCTAAGATTACAACTAATCAAAGTTCTTGCGCTGCTTTATAGACGCCACATGCTTTGCATACTTTGCACTGACTAATTCTGTATCTTGGCCATGCGTACGAATACTACCTGCCCGGCCCGGCCCTGTGTGCAGACCATTTTTATGTACATGGCAACATTTTTGCCGCTGTTTTTTTTTGTGTTTCGTTAACCAAATACAAATGTCTCATAAATTATCAGCTGATTAGTGCAACGAAACCGACTAACTACCACTCAGTGGCAAGAGAGACGTCGTCTAATTGCAGGATGCGGGCGAGAGTCAGCCAAAATGTATCTCCTAGATACACAGATGTAGAAGGGGAAGGGGGAGCATGGCATGGCGCTACAATTTACAAGCTGCAATAAAAATCAAATTGCAACAACTAAACGACCAAAACGACTAATTTTGCACAAGTTCATAAATTGTGCGGGGCAACAGAAAACAGAGGGAAGAACACGACTCGAGTGGCTTGGGGGATTGAGAGCGGGCAACTGGTTGATCTTCATATTTAGTGTGCAACAAATTATGGCTGCAATTTCCAAGGCGCAATTTGCCAAAAACAAAAAAGAAAAAAAAAAAACCAAACAAAACACAAAAAATGCAGCAACAACAACGCACGGAAAACATATGGAAAATTATATTAATAAATATTTGCAGACTGAGAATTGAGAGAATTGCTGAGGAGACCGAGAAGTCGAAGCAGACGACACGCAGCTTAAAGAGGGGGGGCTTATAGCAGCTAAGTCTGAAGAAAAACGATAATGGCAGCACTAATAAATTGCAGCCAACATGTTGCATGCTGCACGCGGCAACCGAGTCGGTCCAGCCAGCACCTGAGAGGAGAGCGCGTGAGTCAAAAACGGGGCGTGCAATTAGAGTACGAGTAAAACACATTTTTCGGGCTGCGATTGCGAACTGCGGACTGGAATTGTTAGCCGGGAATTGGACATGCCGCATGCGGCATGCGGCATGTGGTGGGGTGGCAAGGCGCTCATGCAAATGAAACGACGACGACGACGGGCACAACGCATGGCCGCAAGGGACACTTATTAAAAACAGTTATTAAATGCGACAGGCAACGCGCATTGCAGATTCTGTTTCTCTTTTTTTTCTCTCGTTTTCTGGGTGCGTGGCCCAGCCCAAAGTCCAGCCACAGTTCCAGCTCCAGCTACGACTCCTACTCCCAGCTACAGCCACAGCTACAGCTCGGAGTCCACAACTCACAGGCCTCGCCTCGCCTCGTCACTAAAGTCGTGCAAGTCCCCCGCGGCTTTGCACGTGTTCCACGCTCTCAATTCTGTACTCCTTACTCCTTACTCCTTGCACTCGCACTCGCAATTGAAGTACACTCAGCAAAATACGTGATCTGCAATTTTGAGAAAATGTAAAGCACAAAAAGAACAACGGAAAATGTAAAGCACAAAAAGAACAACGGGAAAAGATTGATTTATTTTTATATGATTAGAGAGAGGAGAAAAAGAAAAGCACTTAAAAATATAGTTCAGGGACAAACTTGTATTGAAACTTAACAAATCAGCCTTAAAGCTGGCAACAATAATTACAAATATTTCTATAATTTATGTATTTTCAGAAAGGCGTCGAAATAAAGCCTCCTTTCAACTCTTTAATATATTTTAATTATATTAATTACTTACATATTTTTAATATATTTATCTAGGTTTGCAAAAAGTCATTCTTTTTCGAAATAAAACCTGCTAAGCTTTCTTCAAAAGCATATTTTTCGCTGAGTGTATCCTTAAGCAGTCTGCAGCTGAGTGTTTGGATAGGGACATGCGTACGAGCGTCGACGTTGGCATCGATGGCATCGTTGGCATCGCTGGCATCACCAGCGTCGTCATCGTCATCATCATCATCATCGACATGGCCGCTGGCCGCTATTACAATTTCATGTGGCCGCCGTTTGCCGTTTGGCGTATCGCATATTGGATTTCATGTTTGCCACTTTTGTGTACATCTTTCGACGTTGCGCTTAACCCACAGCACACCGCCCTCCCCCTCCCCCCTGTTGCTGGCAACATTTTATGCTGATTACACGTCTAATCCGCAGCGTGTGCCTCAAACTGATGCCCCCCTGCCACTTTGTGTATCTTACTCTACACATATATGCCCAAGTTGCTCCTCCTCGTTCGCCTGATTGGGGTTGGAATCGCCTCATTCAATTGCCGTTTGCGCTATTTGCCGTTTAACTTGAAATTGTAGAACTTTAATTGAGTACAGGGTGCTGTTTTGCATGCCCCTTTCGATGCGAGCGAAGCCTTAAAGTCTTGCCTCTTCTTTCTTTACTACGTCTTCAGATGCCATAGAAATAACTGACCCAAAATTCCTCACAGTTTGTTTGTTTGGCAGTTGTAAGGAAAGCTGTAGAAGTTATCGTTTGTAGATGAATTTGAGTTTCGGGCTTGCAATTTAAATTTCCATTGTTTGAAAATGAGTTGGCAGTCAGAATGTCCCAAGACCAGAAGAATATCTCAGTGAAATTTCTTAATTCGAATAATCAAAATCCTAGACTTAAACAATTATTCTACAATCAAAGAACAGTCTGCATAGGGAAAGTTGTTGTCTTTGTATCTACTTTTAAAAAGCATAATCTTTAAATATCAATTGATTTCTATGAAGATTCATATATTCAAGATTTATGTATAGACTTATATCGACACCCTGTATAATAATATTGACAGCTAAAGTTCCATCCCGGTCGAAGTGCCGTACCCAATGCCAGACATTGGCATTGGCGTTTAATTGGAATTTTGAACAAATATAGAAACAAATAAAAACATGGCAAAAATCCAATAAATGTCCTGCGCTGCACGTGCAACACGGAGCACGCAGTGAGACGCCGTGGGAGACAGAGACACAGAGAGAGAGAGAGAGAGAGAGAGAGAGAGTACGTCTACGTTCCACTGGACAGCGTTAATTGAGGCAAGCAGCCTGGCAACGCCATGAAATTGGATAAATTGCTCCAGAGATGTGGCAAGGCAACGGTGGCGGGGTACAGGGGGCTGGCTGCTGCTGCTGCTGCTTGCCACACAATGCACTGTCACAACAATCGATTGTCCTTTTTTGTATTTTTGTATTTGCCCGCATGCTGACATCATCAACATTGGCGTAGCCACCCTCGCAGCAAGCAGCGACGTCGACAGCGGACGCACTTCCGATTTCCGGACGTGCCTTGATGGATGTGCAGCAGTCGGCGGCATTCAATTGATGCCACGCGTGACACGTGTTTCGTTGCTTGTATATGTTCCACGGATCTACCCTTCATTTACCGTTATGTGTGCGTAATGTGCACGTGTGGCTTGAAAGGATTCGTCGACGGCGGCTGGCCGGATGGCCATAAAACAGCCGCAGTCGGAAACCTTATCGCTTTGGGAAAATCGATTTTTACATCAGACAAAGGGGGGGCAGCGCTGGCGATGGGAGGCGCCTCGCCAGGACGCCATTGCTGCGCAGTAAAATGCCACAGTTGAGTTTTCTCTTTTTATTTTTTGAGAGAACGCCGCTCCCGTTTTTGTAGACATGCCCCATTCAAAAAGTGGGCACAAAAATGAACTGCGCATAGCAGTTTTGGAGTCGCAAAATGAACGCCCTGAAAAATGTCTACACCAAAATCATGTACAACAGATTGGAGGCGCCTCCCCAAGCTCCCCCAGCACCAGCTGGCTGTCCAAACAATTGCCTGCGTCGATCTGTTTGAAAACTGTGTTCGAACAAACGTCGCATTAACGCAACATTTTGACCATTTTTATGGGCAAGAGAGCTCCCAGCTCAGCTGCCTGTTATCCAACACGGCTGTAACGACAGATGGACAGATGGACAGCCAGACAGCCAGTCTCTCCCAGTCTCACAGTCTACAGCTGCCAGTTGTCCAGTTATGCGCCAAAAGCAGTGCAGTCTCCAGCTGTGACTTGAACTCTTGCCAAACACGCGCCTGCGCAGCGGCTGCCAAGTTTCCCAGTTTTCCAGCTTGCCTTTTGTCTTTTTACTGTTTTTTTTCATCTATACATCTATACAGTGGTGCAGTGGTGCCGTGTGGTTGGGGGTGGTGCTGCACATTTGGAAAGCCTGCGGAATGCCAGAGCCAGAGTCAGAGTTGGGACGCTTATCTCGACAGTCATTTAGCGTAATCAGTGCAATGGAGTCCATGGCAACTTGGCTATAACCTTTAAGCGATCTGGTAAGCCTGGCTGGAAAGAGCTGAACTTTAAGCTAAAATAATCAATATTAATGAGGAATCGTTGCACCAAGTGCCGAAGACTAGCAGCCATTAACCGTTTTACTTATAATTTTTAACTGCAAATGGAATGTAATTTTTCTTAAAACTAGCACAACACGTTTTTTTATATAGATTTTCAAATACGATTTGGTTGAACCAAATGGAAGGTTGAACATAACATTTAATTACACATTTTTTGTCTGTGTTTAAGAAGTGTAAAACACTGGGTAATTAGCTATTAATGTAGATCTTCAAGAATGAGTTGAAAGCTGCTCGAACTAAAATTATGCACACATTTTCCGAGCTGGAATGAAGACTAGATTGTTCGATAAATAAATCTTAGACTTATGTGTTCAATTGTACTAAGAAACTAAGCTCTAAATATATCGGCTGACAAAGTAAAAGGTTTCAATGTAGATAATAATACGGCTTTCAGTCATGAGAACTTCGCAAATCCCTCAAATTTCTACAAATGTTCACATATTAAAATTATTACGATGTTCTTTCAAAGAGTGCGTTGCCAGTTTTATTAAGGAAAGTACTTTTGGTTTATTTACTTGTCAGCGAATATGTCATGAGTCCAATAATAGCAGCCCGGCTCAGTGTATCCACATGGGATTCTGCGGACGGCAGAAAATAGCCAACCAGATGAGATCCAAATCGGGCAATGCCAGCGGATGCTGCCGCACCTACATGGAAATATTTCTCCTCCTGGATGCCCAGATACGTTCCGGAGATAATGTTACCCACCAGCGTCAGATCCTTAACCGTATCCGTGGCACGATCCCCATCATCACCCAGGCTGCCCATCACATCATAGAGCAGCAGTATTAGTGAGATGCCATGAATGAAGGCCAAGCCACATTGAGAGGTTTGCCGATAGAACTCAATGTTGGCCAACGGCAGCGGAAGGACCTCCACAATGGCCATTGATACGAAATAGGATCGAGCACAATCCTCGCTGCCCTGGATGGTGCGCACAAGCGAAATCAGTCCATGGATAAAACAAAATGCGGCTGCCAAATAACCATAAGGTTGATCAGCCGGAGTCAATGCGTAAAGTCCATAAAAACTGGCACCGACCAAAACCAAATAGGACACAGCCTCAGCGAACATTATTTCTGCGAAATATACTAAAACATAAAACAAAAAGAAACTTACAAAATTTTTGACGAAACAAATAATTTTTGTGTGTTTGACTTGACGTGAAAGTTTAAAATGAATAGCTGGAAAAATTGAGGATTTTATCCATGTTTGACACTTTGCAGCTGAGTAGGTTTTACTTCTAAAGCCAAGCAAATTAGTTTACTGCCTTTCAAAGATTTCTATTTATTTATTAAATATTTCTATTTATTTTATAAATATATTTACTAAGCCACAACAATTTATTTGACGCTCTGCAGGACATTAAATATTCTTTGTTTATAAATATTCGACCTGCTGTCTGCTGTTTATGATACGATCGCATTCCTGTGACTATTACTGGGGGGACACTTGGTTGCCACTACTCTGGTTAGCCTGATTGACCCTCATAAAGTCAACTGCCAGCGGATTTTGTTGTGTTGTTGTTGCTGTTGGAGACACAATCTAAATCAGCACAGCACAACAAGACAAAAAATAAATGCACTGCAAGCTGGCTGGAGCGCCAACATAGTTATAAAGCAAACTAACATAACTAAATGCAGGAAACGCTTTCCAGGAAACACCAACAACAACAGCAACAACAATAAAAGCCTGGCTGCTGGCTGATTGTGTTGTGTCCAACAATTTTTTTCTTTATTTTTTTTGTTTTTTTTTGGGTGCCGTGGCGAAAAGCAGCCAACAGCAGCCAATGGCCAAGAGATTTATTTGCAACCAGCAACAATAACAACAATAACAATAACAACTGCAGCAGGAGCAACCAGCAACAGCAACAACAACAACAGCAACAAATCAGCAGGCAACATGACTTGGTAGTTTTTCGTGTGCATGTTGCCTGTTTTCGTTGTTTTGGCTGCTTCGCCGTTGTTTTGGCAGTTGCTAGTAGTCCTCGAAGATGAGATACTTGCCAGCTGATTAGCTGACACACAAACAACAACAGCAGCAACAACAGCAACAACAGCACCAGCAACAACAACAGCAGCAACAAGTCAACTGCAGAGTGGGCAGCACTGTCAGGCGGCTGCCAAAGTCAAATCGTGTACACAATTGGCGCGACATGCAACATTATTCTTTGCCTTAAGAGACCCTAACCCAATCCCAATACCAAATCCCATTGCGCATTGCCATCCCTATGCCCATTCCCAATGCAGCTGCATACAGCGTCTACACTCTCAAAAAACTCTAAAAACTACTTAAATCAAAGGCAAACCCTGTCAAAATTCAGTCAAACTTAAATTGTTAGACCAGATCCTTAACTGGCTATTCATATTTCAAGGACGTCTTTTGTAGCTTCGAAATTCTGAAAAGGAAAACTATTTTATTGGAAAAGTTATATAAATTTCCTTCATTGACAAATTAAGTACTTGGCGTAGGATAAATGGTGCAACTAATATCTCAAGTTCCCAAACCAATCTTCAAATAGAATGTTTCATTAGGGCTATGTAACCTTAGAAGAAGAGCATGAATGAAGCATGAATGAGAATAAATGAGAAGATGCAATTACAATCTTGAAGTACAATTTTTCCTTATGGATTGATTCCTCATGGATTTGACAGTTTTCAAATCCAATTTCTGCTTGAAAATTGAAGAAGAAATTGCTGGAATTCCAACATGTTTGCATGCTGGCATTATCAACAGTGTTTTTCTCTGAGTGTATCAATTGAAAGTGGCTGTGCAGGCGAGTGTGGAGGCGGAGGTGGGACTGCAACAGGCAACAAAGGCCCACAGAGTCCCGATCAGCTCGATTGGCCGCCCCGATTGGTAAAACGTTTGCAGCCGGAGTTTGACTTAATTTTCACCGTCCTCAGTTTTTTTTCTGCTTTTTTTTGGCCTGGCTCTCTTGGCTTCTTGGTGGCTGGCTGGCTGGCAGTTGGTATTGGTCTTGGTCTTGGTCTATTGTCTGTGGCTTTTGTGGCTCAGAGCCGCTTTCGCTTTGGCTTGTCCGCAGCTTTTGGCTGCCGCTTCGTGATTTGCGATTTTATCGCATTGAAATGAAATAATTTGAGTTCAAAATGATGAAGTTAATTGTGTTTATTAGGCTGCCAGTCACAAGAGTTGCTCCAACTCTAGGCTCCGCAGCTCCAGCCCCAGCTCCAGCATCAGCTCCAGCTTCAGCTTGTGTTTCAGCTGCTGTTGCTGACTCACTCACTCGACGTTGACTCTGTGATGTGCCCCAAGGGGCGCTTCCCCATCTGCCCCCCTTGCCAGCTTCTGCTCGCCTTTTGTTATTGCAATGTTGCCCAAATAGTCAGTCAGTTTATGCAAATTCGTGAATTTATGAGCTGTTCGCCATTAAGTCATTTTAAACGAATCTTTTTGGTCCGCCTGCAGCAGCCAGCACCACCACCACAACCACCACCAACCACAAACAACAATGGATAGCATCATATATACATACATATAAACATATAAGAAATCCAAGTTAGCTTCAGCATGTGCTCCACAGCACAGTCAACGCCAGTTCAAATGATACTCAAAAGTGGGAGCTCTGTTTGAAGTTGCATTTTGGCGTCTTTTGGCGTCTTTTGGCGTCTTTTGGCGTCTTTTGCTCCTGCCCAGTGCTCCGTGTCGTGTGCGATATTAATCGCTTTTGCTGAAACTGTGATGTCAGTTGTGTGTCGTAACATGATTACGTGGGTCCGAGGATACGACTGCGACTGCAACTGCAACGGCGACTGCAACTGCGAGTGGTCCATGCAACTGCGACATGCAAAACAAAAGTGAGCTGACCAACAGAAAGTCTAAACAAAACTTGAATACCCTTTGCAAAAAAGATTTCAAATTTAAGCCACAATTTTTCTTTTACTGAAATTTTGCTTTAATTATATAGTATAAATTATTTATTTATAATAATGAAATAGAACAATTGCAACCCGAACTTTGACCGAAAAGTTGACTTTCAAATGCAATACAAATCCATTCCATTTCTAACTTCAAATGTAGTTTTGTTATAGAAGTCAAACCATTATCGAAAGGATCAAGCATTTGAAAAATGGTTGAGTTTTGGCAAAGTACCATTTTACATGAATTTCGAGTCAGAATAGCGATTTGAACTTTATTGTTAGTTTTAGACTAGATGTGATGACAAAGTTATGGCTGAGAAAGATTTAACCTATCCCTAGATGCAATTTTTAATAATCCAACAAGAATTTCGTTTTAAAGCATATTTAAAAATACCTAATTTTGAAAATATATTAAGTTTTGGCAGTTGAAAATGGAAACCTCGACAGAATGGATAGAAATGTTATAAGACCACATACAAAAAAAAAGAAACCCTGAGCGTGATGAAATGCAATGAGCTGGAAACTGTTGGCTGTGTTGAGATGGAAGGTAGGAAAGAGTCTGGGACATGCCACTGGCGTGACTTTCCCACTGTGCAACAACAGCTTAGTGGACTTAATCACAGTGGGTTGGTTGTTAGTTGTTGGCTGCTGTTGTTGTTGTTGCTCGAGAAGGAGGGTTGTTGTCTGAGATTTTGGCATTTTGATGATCGTATCGCAACTGAAATCGCTTGTCAGCCTTTCTTAATGAGCAGAACATCGCCTCGTGGCGCTTTTTGTGTCGGTCACGTGCACTGATTGTTGCAACAACCGCCCCGAGTTGACTGGGTATACAAAGCGCAGCTGTCAAGTGGAATTAGCCAGACCATTCTTAGGTGGTTAAACTGAGTTTTCTGTATGCCTTAACAGTCAGGCAGTATGCTTGATAGTGGGACCCAATCAAACCGTACCAAATCGCTTGAGCCAACGAAACAGCTTGCATCTGGTGTCCACTGCAATCGATTCCCAGCATTTAAAATATATATGCGACCACAGATAAGACTGGGTTGCCAACCCCCTGAGCGCCAAGCAACCCCCAGCTATTAGAGCATTTACGTTGCCTGGCAACCAGCGCATTTTGGAGACTCTCTCTCTCTCTCAGACAGTTTCCCTTTCTCTCTCTGCGCAACGCTCACTTTTTGAAGGCAGCCATTTTGAATTAATTTGCAGAAATTAATATATGCACCCCGCGCTCCAAACTGGGGTTCATTCCATGAGGTGTGGGGGGAGGGGGTACTGCAACGCAGACGCTTTGTAGACTTTTCCGCAAAAAGCTGCTCGCTCAAGTATCGATTTTCTTCACTTTTTGGGAAGCCACACAGTTTCTTGTGGCAAACAAAATGTGACGCCCACATTGGGGCAAACTGAAACCGTTGCCATAAATCTGCCGGCTGCTGACAGACTTTCATGGCTCTTTTCTATACAAAATACCTGTTAAAAATGTGTCAAGAGGGTATCATCAAGTGGTATGTAGAAACAACTCCATCAAGTAGCTAAATATTCTTCATCTGTTGTAAGCAGAGTCTATATAGGAGCTGGAGAGATCTGAGTTGGTAGTTGGAGGTTGTAGTTATCGATAAAAATCGATATATTCTTTTAGCATACATAGATGAGACTTAATTAAACATTTGAATATCTCTTAGAAATGTAGTCCATACCTTTTGGTATGGCTGTTTACAGGGTATCTCGTTGTGTGACAATTGCGATTAGTTGAATCTTGACTTTTCCGTTGCCGGTTGCCTCAACTGCTTTGATTTCTATGCAAATCGCAGTCAAATCATGGGAAAAAGGCCAACAACAAGCAACAAAAATCGTCGCTAAATTGCATTGTGGCATAGTCAGTTAGTTGCCAGTTATGGCAGCCGTTTTGCATATGTCAGAAGCGACGCTGTCTGTGGCGCCACCACCAGCGACGGGCCACGTGCAGCTGAAGTCGCTTATAGCCGCTGGGGCCCAAAGGAGCGGCCAGCTTTCAGTGCACGATCGACGACCGCACGAAATACAACCAAGCCAAAGCTCCTGAAATTATCATGACCCCAGCGTGGCAATTGGGTCAGCATTTGTCCGGGTGACACAACACGAAAAACATTTGGGAGAACAAAAAAAAAAATAAATACAAAATAGGGAAAAAATGCACTTAAAAAGAAAAGAGTGCTCATATTTTGCATTTCGAGGCATTTGTGACACGTGCAGCTGGGCAACAAGCACGCCTCTTACCTGTTTCCACGCTAATGAGACCCGAGTCGCGAGAACCGAGCCCAGCGTTCCACTGGAGACCTCTATATTGCCACACAATGGTGCACAATGCGCTTGGCCACGTGGCCGCTTCCTTTTTTTTTTCTGTTTTGTTTATTGTATTTCTAGGCGTGTGTCGCTGAGCAACCACCAAACGAGCTGAGCCAGCTCCTAATTGACGCACGTCCTCTTGCCACAGTTTGTGTCCTGGTCGTGTGCCGAGAACTTGAGGCACGCATATGAAAATTTAATTGCAGCATTTGTTTGATTTGTATGTGAATGCTTTCTGTCTGCGAACTGGGCCAGTTTAATTATGCTGCTGCTGTCCCCTGGGAGGGGTTGGCTCTACTCAATTTACTAAATTAGTTTAGCTCTTCTGAATTGCTCGCAAATTGGCAACAAAATGAAATACATTAACAACAAACAAGCTGCTGGGCGTGAGAGAAACACTGTTGGCAGCTTGGGAATGTGAACAAGATGAAATTGCCTCAAAGGGCAGTCAACTGTATAAATATATATTTATATATATATATATATATAATGATGAGCTCATTTACTTAATCGTAGGTTTAGCATGCGACTGCATACTTCATTTAGTAGGGCAAATATCTCTAAGATCTTTTGAACTAAAACTATCCATAAAATCGAAGAAAGAAATTTATAGATGAGCTCTTTCGAGGCTGTCATAAATATAAAATAAAACATGCCCATTGAGCACTTAAATTTGCCATTTGTAGCATATGTGACCTCTGTAAATTTCGCATTACTTCGATTGCAATTCAGGATTTGAGTGCCAGCAATCTCAGTGCCGCAGCGACATGCAACGCACATAAAGCTGATTAATTGAAGTCATCATAAGTTGTGGCAGGCAGCCAAAGGAAACGGGCATCCGCAGTCGTTGCCGTAGTCGTCAGCAGCAGCATCTAAAACTTTACCAGATTGCAACACAAATTCACTTAAGATTGCAACAAATGTTGGCAGAAAGCAGCAGCAGCAGCAGCAACAGCAGCACCAACAGCAGCAACGACAACAGTGGCATGCCACTGTATCTTTGCCGGGGTCTTGAGTTTTGAGTTCTAAGCTGGCCCCACCAGTTAGTCAGCCAGCCAGCTGAAAGCATGTGTCATGTGGCAGACACACACACACAGAGACATGCACAGACAGGCGCACACATAGAGTGTGAGGCGCAATGATTAAGTGAACATTTAACGGCTGCTAATGAATGTGGTGCAGTCCGCATAGATGTGCAATGTGGCTGCAATGTCACACGCGATGCCATTGATGCCACTGGGGGTCACAATAACGGAGGCGTCGCGCATTCAACATTCAGCATTCAACAGCCAAAAGTCAAAAGCCAATCAAGAACACATCATGTGAACGCCGACGCAGGTCTCGAGATACTCTGCCACATCGGCAGCAGCATCAACTCGGCAATTGACTGGGCAGCAAATGCAGCCTGACTTGTCTACACTCAGCGAAACATTTACTAAATTATTCGAGATATAAACACTAAATGAATCAACAAACCCAAAAAGAATTTTATTTATTGCAATTTTTCAAAGATATTTGAGAGGCTTATTTCTCTAAAATTACTGATAATTTAAGATAAAAACTCCTTTATTTTATAAGTTCTGAAAGTATATGTTTCTTAGTATGCAACTCACAATTCAACTATAATTTTATCCTAACAAACATTTGGTAGATTGGTTGAATAAGTCAGTTTATAAATTGAATATTTCATTGCCTTTACACAAAATATACATTTGGAAAACAAACTAAGTTTTTCGAACAACAACTCAATTTACGATCAATTATATATATATACTTTATAGAGTTCTCTATCTCTTAGTAGTTTATTATATTATTATATATTATATTATTATATATACTTACAAAAGATAGCCCTGGTTCCCAAAATGCATCTTCTTCTGAACAAATACACACAGTTTTGCATGAGTATTTTGCTGAGTGTAGAGAGCGTTAAGTGCCGTCGCGTCTGAATCCCACATGGTCTGCGTCTGCATCTGCATCTGCATCTGCAACTGCGTCTGCGTCTGCACTTGGATATGTATTGCTGTATAGCTGTTGACTCGTCTGGAATGCAGATGTGTGCAGTCGGACAACGGACAGAGGAGAGCGGACTGGATGCTGACACCGCTGACATCGCAGCCCACTTGCTGCTCATATTTTCATATCATCAACAACAGCAACAGCAAATGCAACAACAACAACTGGATGTTGTCTGTCCCCCCCTGAAAGAGATTCATACAACCCACTTCCTTGCCCGGGCTTCCTGGCTCTCTTCCTGCCCGGTTTTGCATGCAGCTGCGAAATTTACCAGATTGTACAAATATTACTTCTTCACTTGAAGACTAATTAAATTTGAATTTTGTTTTTCTTTTGCATTTTTGTTTTGCATTAAACGAGCTGAGCAGCTCAGCTGCAACTTGAGGGGGCAACAGCTGCAGGCAACAACAACAAAAAAAACAGCGCAGAGGCGTTTTCACTTATAGCCAAGTTTAGACTGGGGCTCCTGCTGTTACCCCTATCCTGTCCTGCTCTCTCATGGCTGGTGGTCTGCGCCGTCTAAATTTATGGCTTAATTTGGCGCTCTTGTTAATGCGTGTGTGGGCGTGGCAAGTGGCGACCTGCGGCAAGTGGCAGGCAGTTAGTTATTGGAGTGGGGGCGTTGCTGTCAAAATTCTGACATTTTAAGTGTGTTTTCCCAGACTGCCGACTCTTGACTAAACAAATATTTTCACTATGAAGGGCTGTCAAGCGTCAGAAGGATGTCTGCCGGCCTGCCTAATTGCCAAAAGTAGCAAAGTAGCAAAGCAGTTCGTCAGGTTGTTCAAACAGTGTATGTAAATTGTGAAAATTGTGAAAATGTATTGGGATATTTTTGTCAAAGAAAATTCCGGAGAAGGAAAGTGGTTTGTGGGTGTTTCTAGTCAAGATGTTTAACACTTGTAAAAGTTGACTTATGCAACTTTACTCTTTATTATAAAGAGATTTTTATTAAGTTTTTATTAATTTTTATGAGAAAAACAATTCGATTATTTACTATCATTAATCAACATATATTTTTTAAAATTGACTTATTATCAGTAAACATTGTCCAAGCAAGTTTCTTTTATAATTTGCTCATTCAGACATTAGTTATGCAACGAGCATAAATCATGAATAGTTCTGGCTATTAAATATGATGTATTTTGGCAATTTCAGCTTTAAAATGCACAGCAGCTAATCAGTAAGCAAAGCAAATACGAAGGCAAATCCTGAATGGTCAGCAAATACATTGATAAGCAGGTAAACAAAGAACTGTCTGCACTTTAAATTAGCTGGTTTTATAAATAGAAACAATGTCTAGTCGAGGCCCAAAGAAAGTATTGGCTCACTCAGGCTAGGCTCAGTGGGAGTGGTGTGCGTGTGTGTGTGTCTAAGCCACAATATACACAATATACTTTTCTAATTGTCATGCGAGAGACAGCGCCGGATGTCAAAGTAGTCGTCGTCGTTGTTGTAATTGTTGTAGTTGTTGTTATTGTCGTCTATGTTGGCTGCCGGAGTTGTGCGTGCCTTGTAGCCAAATCCCCAATGTGGTCTGATCGGTGGCTTGTTAGCTTGTCGCTGCCTACAACAATGTCCAGAGGCTTCTCGCTGTTGTGTCTGGCGACTGAGTTTCGGTTTTGGGCCTGATTTGAATGCGCATTTGGTTTCGCTCACCATTTTTGTTGTATGTTGTGTATGTGTGTTGTTGTGTATATTGTGTTTTGTGTTTTGTGGTCGTAAGTAAAGCTTGTTGTCCAATTTGATTGGCGGCTCATAAACAAATCGTCGCGCAATTACCGCCCCACAACACAATGGAGACAACTGTGACAATATCAGAGGCGACAACCTTAACAATGACTCTAAAAATAGCTGACAGTTATAATTAGTGGCAGCAACAGGAAATTGCCCAGCCATATTCTTGAATTGGAGACGCCTAATTGATAATTTAGTTTAGCTTTGGTATGTGTAGCTATAAATTGATTAGAAAAACGACTACCGACTATGGAATGACAGACATATTTGCAACATGTCTAGAAAAGAGGTCAAATTTATGATCTTGATAGTCTCCGAGATCAGACAGACAAGCGGACATGGCTAGATTGTTTTGTTTGTTGCTCAAGCTCCCATTTTCTGCCTCTTGCAGACATTTGGCCAATATCAATATACTCATTTTAGCCATTCAAGTTCACTACTGGTTACAAAAAGGGCAAATCTACCCAGAAAAAAGGCTAAAGTGACAAACAGCACTGCTGGAACTGGTGGGTGTGACCCACACAATGCGATGAGAACTGTGTGATAAATTTGGCACGTTGTTTTCATGACATGACCAACTAGCATGCCCCTCTCCTCCCCTCCCTTGCCCACCAGCCAGCCCCTTCGACGGCCTCTTTTGACTGTTTGTGGTGTTGCTGTCGTGAAAGAAGGTGTAAAATTATGATTTAGTCGATGCCAAAATGAAGATAACAAAAACAGCATGCAGCATAGCAGCAGGCAGCAGGCAGCAGACAGCAGTCGAGGTAGCTAACCTGGCAACGTTGCGTCGCCGTCGTCGTGTCGATGCCAGCAGCGAGCTCAGCAGCGTTCAGAGTACACAATGCAGGTGACAAATCTTGGTTAGCCAATTCAGAAACAACAAACAACACAAACACCTGCAATGCCAATGCAATCCATTGCAACACCCAGATAAACTGCACAGCAGCAGCAACACAAAACCCACCAATAGCTAGCCAATCACTAGCCAGACTCGGCTGAACTTTTAATACCCTGGCATTATTCAGATTCTTAGTTTAATGCCATTGCAAACATTTTGACTTCTTAATCTCCAAAATCGAACAAAAGCCGCTGCTTATCTTCAAGCACACATAAATCTATCAAAGTTGGACTGATTTTTGTACTTATCACAATTTTGATCATGCTTTGAGCTCCATTTTGACTTGCCAACCAAGTTCAAGTACAATCTGTATTAGAACAAGTTGCCAAAGTTGCTATAAATTAACAGCAAACGGCTTCAATTTGTCAAAACTAATATTCATATCGAGCGCAATTCATTAATTGATAATCGTTGCTCAATTCGATCGATTCTACATTAAAAATGTATACAAATTATTGAAAAGCTTCAATTTTAATCTATATTTTATGCGATTTATTGTTATTGGCACAAAGCGTTTAGTAACTGATTGGTTGAGTGAAAGGTGCGACAAGGCTCAGGAATTATGAGCTGGCATTGCAATCGATGCTCGACGCAACAACAGCTGTCGATTTTTGGTAGTGGCCAACCAAAAATAAATGGCAAATATCGGTCGAATGGCCGAATATAGAGAGAACGCCGCTGCCGCTTACAAATATGGTAAGATTGTGTTGCCAAAAATGCCACCGCCAAGCTGGCAACTTGGCAACTGTGCACCCAAAAGTGGTTGACCACTTTGGTCGTCGCTGTGTGTAGCATCCACAAAATATATATATATATATATGCACAATATTGACGCACTTGTTGTCAGCTGGGCGTGTTTTTTAAATGCACTTGCCTTAAATGCTGTTTGTTGTCGTTGTGGCTGTTGCTGTTGTTGCCTTAACATGGCTGGCAACTTTGTTAAATGTCAGTTTTGTGTCAAAATGCATTTGACTGCTAGAAAAAAAAAGGAGAACGACTGGTTAAAAAGTCGAGAACGGGGGCAGATCGCTCAAAGAGCTATCAAAATATTTTCGTTTGCCAGTTTTAGAATTGAAGAGCACCCAGTGCGACCATAAAATATGACACGTGGGTAATATCAAAATGCCATAAACAAAGCTAAATTATTGGGCAACACTTGGAAAAATATAAAAAAAGAATTCGAAATAGAAAAGAGACGAGACTCGAAATAGATCGCAGACCATTTAACCCGTTGGCATCATTAGCAGCTCATCTGGCAACAGCTGAGGCTGACATGTGGGCAACTGCCATACTTAACAGCAGCTCCCTAGCCCCTACCCCGTGCCACTCCCACCTCCTTTCCCCTACACTGGTTCCCTCTTTTACGATTTTTTTCTGTTGGGTTGACAGAAATAGCGTGATAATCGTGGCACGCTCTTTTGTCCCGGGGTCGTCGTGATTTCCACTTCCGATTTAACTGGAACTCTATCTCACTCTCACTCTCACTCTCACTAAGCATGTGTGTTTGGTTGTGCTTCCCCCTTTTCTCCTCCACTTAGTTATTTTCCGAAAAGGAAAAATACATATTCCGCTTTTGTTGAAGCATGCGGCTGTCATGTGTGCCAAATGTGCAGCAGACGATCGAATAGCGTACCTTATGTTTGATTTCATAAATACAAATACAGCCAGCGATCGCAAACAAAATTGTATTCCATATATACTATATACTATATACCATATACGATATATCTATATATCTGTATATCTGTTCACTGCTGCGATATTTCGCCCTGGTGCGCATTAACATGTAACAGATGCGCTCCACATTGTGGCCTACAGCTTCCGATGAGGATGATGAGGAGGATGACGATGATGAGGGGCTGCTGCGGGGTGTGGCAACAGCATTGTTTATGAACTGCATCCGCAGTCAATAAAACTTATACTTTTTGATACACTGCCGACCATCCATTCATATAAGCTTGTACAAACTAGAATATGCGATGATCTACAATGATATACAAACAGCCTTTGATCAATTTCATTTGAAAGAAATGTTATTTAATGAGAATTATTTCGTATTTTTCTTTTTGTAGGCTCAAAATCTTGTTCTTAAACAAATTAATAATATAATTAATTAAATAAACAAATGTCTCTGCACACATATTTCAAAATCGATCAATATGTTGTTGTACAAAAGTGTTGCTATAACTTTGATTTCGATTTTCAACTTATTTATTCCTAAATATATATATAATATATAGTTAACCATATCTTGAACATTTCCCTGCTTTCCCAATTTATTTATCGTAAGCATTTTAGTTTCTTAAAAATCAATTATAAGACTTCGCTGCATCCACACAAGACATCTCTTCAAAACTTTCGCTGCAACTCTCGAACCTAAAGCAACTTGGAGGTGCTTCTCTGAGGCATGCCGATCCTCCGATCATACTGCTCATGTCGAAGCTGGTACTCGCTTTTGGTGCATGCAAATCCAAGCATCACAAATCGCTTATTGCCCCAGCGCCAAAAAAGCAATCAAAGGCCGCGGACCCCGACCGGGCCAAGACAGTCAGCGAGGGAGTAAATGAATGAATGAGTGAATGATGCGGAGCAGAACGAAACCAATATTCAAGACTCAACACAGCCAGGTAAAGCAAATAAGCCCGAATAAAAAATAAAAAAAAAAAAACAAAACATTCCATATTCGATTGGCTGAAAACCTTTCGAACTTTAACAGCGGATTCAAGCTTCAAAAATTGCGTGAAGCGGCGCATTATGGTTATTACTTGGATGTTGAATGCTCGAATGGTCGACTTGCTGATGTCGATGTCGATGTCGATGCCGGTGTTCGACAACGTTGGCTTTTTGGGGGCAGGGGCCAACTCCATCTCTGGTTACGGACAGCGCTTTGTTTGCTCATCGCTCCCAGACCAAGACCTTTGAAGGCAGCGCCGTACTGCCCATCACAGTGCCCAACAGAGCCAACAGAGCTGACCTTGTTTAAACATCAAAAAACATATTATTGCCATGCCGACCGCCTTGCTTTTTACGTTTAGCTCCATATAC